AATAACAAAACTCTTTATTTCGGAACACTCTCTGCATAGATAATGAAAAAACGAGTTCTAGAGATTAAAACATTCACAAAAACGAAAATAAAAAGGTTTATAGTCAGTAAGAATGTTAAAATACCGAAAATACCATTAAAAAAACGAAAAAAGTCATTAATTGTTCAAAACCGCTCCAATAACCATTTCCCTGTAAACAGTACATCTTTCTGTAGAGACTAGCTCTGCGAAAATGTTAGAAAAAAAATTAATGCCTTCATCTACCATTTCCTCATAGCAACACATTGGTTCCGCAGAGTCATGGTTATTTCCATAGAGCACCTCTCTACGGAATGATGTAAAATCATTTTTTTGTCATTTTCCCCCACATGTCTGATTCCTCAGAGTGTAAGGACTTCCCAGAGCTCCTCTCTGCGGAAGTCGTGGTATTTTTGATGAAATTGTGTTTTTCATGGTTATATAAAACAAACAATCCCTTATTTTGGTTATTTGATTATGTGATTAATAAATTAATATGATATAAGTTGTTAAATTATTGATTTTTTAATTTATATGTTTAATAAATTAATATGAAATCAATTAGAGTTGATTAGTTATTAATCAAAATTAATCTGGAATTAATCCGGATTAATTGGAATTAATTAAAGGTGCAAGGGGTGAATTGTAATTCTTTAATAGTTGAACAAAAGAGATAATTCTAGAACCATCCAAGCATGTAGGGTTTGGGGGCTCTTCTAGGGCTTCTGGAAGCCTCCTGCTTGCATAAAAAGAAACGATTTGAATTAGGGTTAAATAGAATATTTTATCAATTCAAATTTTGGTTTTGTCTGCAAGCTACTTAAACAATAAATTGGACTCCTTCTCTTGCAAATTTCGTGCATACTCTTTCCTAGAGGTATATGAACGAAAATTTACATTTCCTCCTCTCTCCTCACTTTTCTTCTAGTTCTAGTGTTTGGGTGTGAGCCATTAGAGGCATCATCCTTTTGGTGCTAGCTTTCCACGCTCTTCAAACGAAGGATTGAAGTGATTTGTTTTCTACAACAAATTAAAGGTATGTAACTCCAATTTTTGTATTGTATTTTGATTATATTAGGGTTTATGTAGTTTTTTTATTCATGTATATTGCATTCAAAGTGTACGACATAGATCCTTTAGGTTGCATGTGCCCTTAAGTATTATGTGAAATTTTGCAAGCACATAGTTTTTGTAACCAATAAAACCCATCATTTTCTACCGATCATAAGCTAAGACAATAAATCATCCATTTGAACCATATGTTTCATCTGACCCAAGGCTTTCGGGTATCACAAACAACACTTCACTCTCCTAAAAACTAATGAATGTACTTTCCCACACTTGAAGACATTATAATAAGGTGTTGTTTGTTTTTTGTCTGCAGATCTTCTTGGCCTCTTCTGTCTGCGCCACGTAGACCACGCGTAGAGATCAGCCTTCGCAGACTGTTTGTTTTTTCGAAGACTGCATACCTAAAAATATATGTGCGTCCTCTTCTTGGCGCAGATGTGGACCATAGTCTTCTAACCTCTTCAGACATCTTCTAGCCTAAAAAAAACACATATATCTTTGTGTTTTATTTTTTTAGTTTTTCTAAAACTTAGATTTATTCCAACTTTATTAATGACAAACACATATATCTTTGTTTTTTTTTAAAACTTATATTTATTCCAATTTTATTAATGATAAACATATATATCTTTTTTTTTGAAGTTATATTTATTTCAACTTTATCAATGATAAACAATTTGGAAAAAAAAAGTTACAATACTTAAAGAAAAATGTTCGATGACACAAACATGACCTTTTTCACAAATCTATAAATAAAGATTTATTATAATATCGGTCGTTAAAGCTGTTTATATAAATATGAAAAAAAATCATAATATTGTCTTATATTTTTTGTGCCAAATTTTATAAAAAATTATTTAATGCAGTATAATCAATTTCTTGGGAAAATATTTATGGTATGTTTTTAATTGGTTTATTTGAAAAGGTAAAATGAAAATTTTCATTTTAAAATTTTGATTTTATTTCCATCCATTTTTTGTATTAAAGTCTTTGATCCCTAATTACAATGTTTATGTATAACTTTACCACCAAAATTGTTGTTTTTATCAAATATATACGTTAATTCGTACTATTTTATTTTCACTTTTTATACAATAATACATAAAAGTTGATCTAGATTTGTTAATTATTTATAATAAAGTCATTAAACATTAAGAAAACCACATTGAAGTTAAAAAAATCAGTTTATTTAGATTTTAGTTTATTTTAGTAGTCTGCAGATGTTAAAAAAACAAACAGTCTTCTTAATTCAGACTGCAGACATTTGGTCCATCTCTTCTATTGCAGATGTCTACAGATGTGATCCGTAGGCTGTAAATATTTTGCCCCAGAAAAAAAAATAAACAACACTTAAGTGTGTATTACAAATGGGTAGCATAGGATTTATATTTCAAAATGGGTTTTTGCCTTGTTCAGATAAAACATTTTTGACTCTGTATTGACAAAATTACCTTTAGAAACTTTAAATTATTTATAAAACCATTATAAATTATCATTTTTGTCAAAACATTTCCTCGTCACACAATCCTAGAGAAAACATTAAATAACACAAATCACATACAAGTAACGTAACCGTTGTCTCAGTCCAAATTCATTTCTCTGGTGAGCCATCATAAGGAAAAACTAGGTCATTCTAGGGACAAACAACCACAATAATGCATGGCTCCCACTTGTATTGTCATCTACACCCGATACTCTAATGGAACTCTATCAAGATCCGAATTACTATAGACCTTTCTTTGTTGACTTTGATCTTTATTTATCTATAATTTGCAATCCGAAACATTTTCCTAACTAATGTAATATCTATTATAATTACAAAAGAAAAGTACATTACAAATAAATAAGGAAACATCACGAAAGTCACGAGTAAACTAATCTAAGTAAACTAAACAACCCAAGACATCATAAACACAGGTCCAAATGATTCAATAAATTTACCAGATCCATATAATGAAATGTAACATTATTTTGATAAATGTTGTAAATAAATAATTTACAAAACAATCTTTGTTAATATGTTACATTGTCAATAAAACTCATTTAAAGACATAAGATATAAACATGGTTCTGTTGGATTAGGTGTCTAAGCCAATAACTAAATTAGTATAATCTTGAATTATTTGCAAAGTCTTTTTGGGTTGCCCTCAAACCTAGTAATTGAAAAGGATGACTTTTAAAGAGAGAGAGAGAGAGAGAGAGAGAGAGAGAGAGAGAGAGAGAGAGAGACTGCTTTATTAATTTATTATGTAATTAATAAATTAATTTATTATATTAATTAGAAATTATATTGTTTAATTATAAATTAATTGGAATTAATTTTGGGATTAGTTTGAATAATAAAAAGTGGAAGGACTAAATGTGACAATGTTCAAAAGATTGAACATTGACCAATTCTAGAACCTCCTTAAGAGGGGGAACGAATTCTAGAGGTCATCCAAGGTTTCCTTGGGCATTAAAGGTGCATTGGATGCCTTAGGGAGGAAGTTAAGGGATTAGCGCTTATCTTAGGAAACTGCATTATTCCTAGCTCCTTTGATAACCTATAAAAACCCTCCATTGGGTTCTAAATTTTGGTCATCCTTATTCCTCAAGGCAAAGACAGAATTTTACTCCCCCCTCTCTTCTCTCTTCTCTCTTCAATTCTCCTACTTTCTGGGGTTAGGTGTGAACAATCAGAGACACGAGATTTCTAGTGCTAGCTTCCAAGTGGTTTCAAGAAGGATTGTTTGATTGTTTACTACAACAATCATAAAGGTATGTAATTCTTATAATTTCAAAATTACCTAGGGTTCTAGAGTTCTTGTTGTTCAATAGAATTTTAATTCAATAGAGTTATGACTAGATCTAATAAATTGCATGTACCCTTAAGTGTATAAGGATATATCCGCATTATTGCATGTAAAACCCATCAGGTTCATGGTTTTTATTGTATGAGTTCATGCCAAAAATACAACCAAAATTATAAGAAAATCAAAATAAAAGGAAAACAAACACTTTGAATTCAAAACAAAATCGTTCTTGTCGTATCATCATGGAACTTGAAACCCTAATCTGTATATCTTTTACACACACTTTCCCAAACAATATGTACATGATCATAGACATTAAGTTTTCCAAAATTATTTCTAAGTGATATTAAAATTATCAAAGGCTTTGATACTATTATCGAATAATAAGGTGTTCTTCATAAGAAAATAGTTAATTAAACAGAAAACAACATAAACATTTAAATCAGCAACATATTGATTAAATACTAAATCATGATTATATTTATTAATAGAAACCATAACCCTGATATTTTTAACACATGTGAAGAAGATTGAGGAAGTCAAACAAGAGTCTATTTGACAACGTCATACCCCTTACCAACAAAAAACCAAGAACTCTAGCTTTGGAAACTTGAGAATTTTGACCACCATGAAACTTGTGTTTTCTTTAGGTTGTTTCCCAGAGATGAGGAGATGTGGAGAAGGAAAAGGGAGGACGACTTTAAGGTTTTGAATAGACCCTTGAACCCCTTATGCTTGCTCCTTTTATATAGTTGGTGGAAATCTTATCATGTCCAAATTTGAATCAACGATAATATTATTTTATTCATTAGTGGTTATCCTTTAGAATTATCTATTAATTATTCAAATAATTTATATAAGTATTTTAAGCATAATTATTTAGTTTCCACCAATTAATCTCTAAATATTAATTAACACTTTAACAAATAACAATTAATTACAATAAGTTCCAATTATTTATTGACACTCATTAAATAATAAATAATTCTCTCTTTATTTATTTGTCAATGTTTTTATCTTGGGTCAAGTGGGTAACCCATAAGGGCTCATGTAATTAATTTGTGTTAACAATATGTTGTGTAGTGGCCAAATCTCCAACAATATACGACTCCAAAAAAAGGAAATAAGAAGATTAATCCAATAATATATAAATATAAAATAACCATTAGCTATCCATTTATACAATATAAATATGAAACTTGAAAAGAAAAAATATTAAAGCCACAATACTCTTATCACCCTTTTCTGGCGACAAACAATTGAACTTTTTCTTACATTTCCAGTATATATTCCTTCGAGCTCTTTTTCAAGGATAGTATGACCCACAACGTCGATGTCAAAAGGAAATGGTTGCAACAAAAACATTGATGATGTGAAGTGCAATGTTTAAGACCTTATTACAATGAAATGGTTGTGAAAGAACAAATTTCTAACATCTCCTTGAGGAACCTTCTTTATGAAACTCGTATGAAAAATAAAACCTACATCAATAGATATGAAGTTGTTATAGATGTGTCATATCATTTAAAATTTTATTATAATGCTGGGAATGTTTCATGATATCGAAAAGAAATAAAAAAAATATGCTTACATGGTTGTATCTTGCAAACAACAAAGTTAAGGGAATCTAATAATTAGTTGGGGGTGGAGGAGAACCATAGATGTATACAGGCGGAAGAGGTGATTTTACTGGTGGAGGTGGAGATATGTAGTGGTATGGAGGTGGTGGTGACTTAACTGGTGGTGGGGGTGATGTGTAATGGTATGGTGGCGGTGGGGACTTAACTGGTGGTGGAGGAGAGGTGTAGTGGTATGGTGGAGGTGGGGATTTAACTGGTGGTGGAGGTGATATATAGTGGTATGGTGGTGGTGGGGACTTAACTGGTGGTGGGGGAGAGGTGTAGTGGTATGGAGGTGGTGGAGATTTCACAGGTGGTGGAGGTGACGTGTAGTGGGTATGGTGGTGGTGGGGACTTAACTGGTGGTGGAGGTGAAGAATAATGGTACGGTGGTGGTGGAGATTTAACTGGTGGAGGAGGCGATGTGTAGTGGTATGGTGGTGGTGGGGACTTAGTTGGTGGAGGAGGTGAGGTGTAATGGTATGGTGGTGGTGGGGACTTAACTGGTGGTGGTGGTGAGGTATAATGGTATGGAGGAGGTGGAGATTTCATGGGTGGTGGAGGTGATGTATAATGGTAAGGTGGTGGTGGGGATTTAACCGGTGGTGGTGGTGATGTATAGTGGTACGGTGGTGGTGGTGACTTAATTGGTGGTGGAGGTGAGGTGTAGTGGTATGGGGGGGGTGGAGATTTCACGGGGGGTGGGGGTGATGAGTAGTGGTATGGTGGTGGTGGGGATTTTACCGGTGGAGGAGGTGAACTGTAGTGGTATGGTGGGGGTGGAGATTTCACCGGTGGTGGTGGTGATGTGTAATGGTAAGGCGGTGGAGGGGATTTTACAGGTGGGGGAGGTGAAGTGTAATGGTATGGTGGTGGTGGAGATTTCACGGGTGGGGGTGGTGATGTGTAGTGATATGGTGGAGGAGGAGATTTCACTGGTGGTGGAGGTGATGTATAGTGATATGGAGGAGGTGGTGACTTAATAGGTGGTGGAGGAGATGTGTAATGGTATGGTGGTGGAGGAGATTTCACCGGTGGTGGAGGTGATGTGTAGTGATAAGGTGGGGGTGGTGACTTCACCGGTGGTGGTGGTGAAGTGTAATGGTATGGTGGTGGTGGAGATTTCACTGGTGGTGGTGGTGAAGTGTAATGGTAAGGTGGGGGTGGAGACTTAACGGGTGGTGGAGGCGATTTGTAGTAGTATGGGGGAGGTGGTGATTTCTTAGGTGGTGGGGGTGATGTGTAGTGGTACTTGGGAGGAGACTTCACTGGTGGTGGAGGGGAAGTGTAGTGGTATGGTGGTGGTGGAGATTTAACCGGCGGTGGAGGAGATGTGTAGTGGTATGGAGGAGGTGGTGATTTCTTAGGTGGTGGGGGTGATGTGTAGTGATATACCGGAGGAGACTTCACGGGTGGAGGGGGAGACTTGTATAAGTAAGTGGGTGGTGGTGGTGGTGGAGATTTGTAATAATATGGAGAAGGAGTGGGCTCTGGTTTTGGCTTTGGCTTCTCACAAAGGGTAGAAGGAGTCTTAGGAGCATATGCAAATGGTTCAGCCTCAAGGACAACCTCATAAGCATTTTTGGATTTGACCATAAGCACGGCACCCTTCAAACCACCATGAAGATTTGTTGGAATATTACATTTGGTTCCATTTGGTGCCATATGAAGCTTAGCGGTACAAGCTTTTGCTCCTCCATATTTGGAATAGTCCAAACCCTCAACAGTAATTGCATATTTGCCATTGATCTTAGTCTTTCCATATGCAAAAATTTCTTTCTGGCCAACAGCCTTGCAAGTAATTTCGACAACAGCACCTTTTTCAACACAAATAAAAAAAAAAGTCAACTTCATGTATATTTTTTGGTCCACCTTTTGTAATATGCCGGTTACTATAAAAATATAAAACATGTTATGATATGCATGATATGATTTTGGGTTTAAATACTTCAATTAAATAAACATTATTAACTCTTATACAAAATAATCAGAAATATATAACTTATAATGTAAGCCTTTCATAATAAGAATATGTTGAAACTTTAGCTTGGTATCTTTATTTTATTTTTTTGAAGTATTATAATTTATATGGTATACTAAGATATCAATATATGATTATATGCCTTAACCAGTTAACTCAAAACTGAAATTTTAGAAAATTAATGCTTCATTTTCTGAGAAATATACATATCTTTCATTTTGATGTTTTTTTATTTATTTTAAAATGCAAGATAGTAAACGAATAAAACCAGAAACATAGAACATGGGTCAACCATCAAAGCACATGGATACACATCCATTCATATATATAAAACAGTTAAGGTAGTGCGAGAAACTAAAGTTTATACCTTTGAGGTGGTGCTTGGCGTGTGATTGGATTGGGTATTTCCAGTCATAACAGCTGTTGCAGTAAACTTTGCCCACGACCTTTACGATGAGTTTCTTGTGGTGAGGGTAAGGTACGGTGTAGTAGGATTTTGGTGGTGGTGGAGAACTGTAGTAATAGTGTGGAGGAGACTTTGTTGGTGGTGGTGGGGATTTGTAGTAGTAGGTGGTGGTGGAGAATGCACCGGAGGAGGAGGAGACTTGTAGTAGTATGGTGGTGGTGGTGACTTAACAGGCGGTGGTGGAGACTTGTACAAATATGGCGGTGGTGGTGAATGCACCGGTGGAGGTGGAGACTTGTACAAATATGGTGGTGGTGGTGAATGCACCGGTGGTGGTGGAGACTTGTACAGATATGGTGGTGGTGGTGAATGCACCGGTGGTGGTGGGGACTTGTAAATATATGGTGGTGGTGGTGAAGAATAGATATAAGGATTAGCCGAGACAGCTATAAGGTTAGCAACACCAAAGACGGTTAATGCGATGACTATAGGCCATAAAGGGGCCCTGAACGGGACACCGGTGGTGACTCTCATGGTTCACCGGTAGTTAGAGAGGATGGGGTTGAGGGAGGGAGGGAGGTTATGCTTTTGGATGTAAAGCTATAGGTATAAATAGCAAGTAACACCAAGAGAATATGCCACTAATTTGTATATTAAAACACTTGTCAACCCTTCCAAGGCAACTAGGCCACATTCTCTTTTTTTAAGCTCTCGTTCTCAAGAGTTACTCGGACAATTATTTGGGTTGACATTAAATTTATTAAATTTATTTTATCTCAAGCTTAACTTGAACTATTCAATAAACGAGCTTTATATATTTGACTTGTTTTCATTTCAATAAAGAGTCTCTGCGAACTTTGGGTTACCTCTTGGTAAGTGGAGTCAAATGATAGACCATGATTTAATTTTATATTGTTTGAATACTAATATTTAACGCATTTCATGGTTCAGACTGCTATACATGAAATTACGAAGGATATGGTTTCTGTGTCTATTAGATAATTATCATAATTTATTTTGTTTGTATGTGTTTGTACTGGTGCATTTATTTATAAATTGAACTTTATTAAGTGCATATAGTTTAAATTGAAAATGCATTGTTTGTATTTACCAACATAAACTTACAAACTCGATTGCTAACATTCTTTGTGTTTACTGTAATGTTTCTATTACCATCTGATCTGAATGTTAATGATAAACCAACTTTAAAACAAAAAAAAATGAAATTAATGGGTAATGAATAAATAAAGTACCAGTTGCTTATTTCTCTTAGCTAGTAGTGAATAGTAGACCATGGATAGAGCTATCGATCCAGAGACTCTTTTCTAACGCCATCCAGGTTTCGTTTATAATTTAGTACTTTACCCTTCAGTAATTTCAGTAATATATCATATGTTAAAAAAGTTCCAAAAGGTAAACGATACATTTTTTCACCTGGTAAAACTCCAAAACAAAAACCGAATAAAACATATAAATTAAAGAAGTAGAAAATAAATAACGTTCTTTCACATGTCAAATATCTATTTATAAATTATCTTTCACATATTAGGATGCTAATTAAACTTAAGAAAACTTAAGCTTTAAAAGATGAATTGTGCCACTGATAGTACATCCTTACGGTCATATAAAACTCTCATTTTTACTTATTATTTTCCGAAAACATACAAAAAGCGATACTGATTATTTTAAACAAATTTAATTTTAAAACCATGCATGTGTCATGCTCGGTGTGTGGGAACACTTGAATGAATTTGGGAAAATGACATAAATGACCTACAAACTTTCTAGGGTTTACCCATTTAGTCCTTAAACTTTTTGTCGGGCTTTATGGGTCCCTAAACTAGGATATGACCTGCTCTTTTAGTCCCTGTCAACCTGTAATAGCCAGTTCAGTGACCTTTTAGACCAAAAAACTCACATTGTACCCCTATAAAGCCAAAAAAATAAGTTCGGGGATCAAATGGTCAAAATGTTGTTTTAGTTAGGAGATTTCGAGTGCACTCTTTCACCTAGTTGACAAATGAGTGAAACACTTGATAATTAGATTATTATTTTCATTATCACTTAAATTTGTATACAATGAGATATAGAAGTATAATTTAATAGTAATAGTAAATAATTAATATTTATATTACCTACCATCTCTATGGTATGGTAAATATGATATGCTTTTCCTTTCGGTTCTAGAACTTCCTCTGCTTCTTTGTAAACGTCCAAAAGTTCTTGATATATGAATTTCATGTACTCAGGAAGTGTATCGATGCAGCTTGCCGACCATCTACATACATTAATTAAAATGGTCAAAATGTTGTTTAATTTAAAGAATTATGGGAACTACTATACGTATCATTGGCTATTATAAGTAATTAATGCATACCACATACCTTTGAACAGCTTGGGTGAACATCTCAAGCTCTTCGTATGTACCATAGTTATCATACGTATCATCGAATATGATAGCAAGATTGCATGTTTTCATTAGAAAAATCCTAGCATCAGAATATTGTTGCTCAAAATAGACTGCCAATATCCAAAAGTAGCCTTCTACCAATCTGTCGCGAACATAAGGTAGCATGTTTTCTAAATCCAAATTCTTCCACCATCTATTTAGACACATGAAGGTGCATGGCCCGCCATGAGAAGAATTAAGAATTAACTGAGTAGAATAACTAATTAAGAACATTAGTTAATTGGAGTGATTAATGAAGTACATACCCTTTGATCTAATCAATATGATTGGTCTAGCCAATATTATTACCAAGGTTTTACTCGTTCTATGTCCATTTACATTAGAAAACTATAGAAGTTGTTAGGTTACGTATTTGCTGATTTGGCTGAGCTCCTTTTTGTGCAAGGATTGAAGTAAATTGGAATCCAACATGGAAAATTGTAGTAAGGCCTCATTATGGGAAACTTCTTTCTGATAGATGGATGTGTAACGCAATGCCTCAAGCCTTGGCAACCTTTTCCGGAGAGGCTGTTCTAGTGCTTGTTCTATCCGGATCTTAAGAGATGCGTCCTTACACATATGATCATTTACTATGTTTTTAAGTTGAAAAGTCGTAAAAGTGAGGGTTGCATCGTAAAGTTATCCAATATATACATTTTTTATAACATAACTATCACTTAAATCATTATTTGTTACGAATTGATCTCCGAACTTATTTTTTTGGCTTTATAGGGACACAATATGAGTTTTTTTTTGTGTAAAAGGTCACTGAACCGGCTATTAAAAGTTGACAGGGACTAAAAGAGCAGGTCATATCCTAGTTTAGGGACCCATAAAGCCCGACAAAAACTTTAGGGATTAAATGGGTAAATCGTAGAAAGTTTGTAGGACATTTATGTCATTTTCCCAATGAATTTTCTTAATCATATTTTTCTCATGCAACCCAATTGAAGAGGATTAGTGTGATCTTGAACTGGTTTATTTAGAAAACATGAATTCAAAACCAAAATAACCACGATGTATCGTTGGTTCACTTGATAATATTTTGTTAATTTTAGTATTTTAATCATATACATTTTCAACAAATTTTAGTGTATATATATATATATATATATATATATATATATATATATATATATATATATATATATATATATATATATATATATATATATATATATATATATATATATTATTTATGTATTATATTAGTTGCTGTATCCACATATCTATATGCATTGAGCTGCTAATTGGTTACTGATTATGAGAAGAATAGACTTTTGAGGGATTAGCGAGGGATTAGCTAGACATTAGCGACGGTAGTAATCCCTCCATAATTTCTTCCAGGACTTAGGAGGGTGAATTTATTGATTGCTTTCTTTTTTCTTGACTATATATCTTCTTACGTGATTTCATGTTTAGCTTTTAATCTTGAAAATCATTTACAGGATGAAGAAACCATAATCAGTTTTAAGGAGAAGCCCAGAAATTATCCATCTCAAAGGAAGTCTGGCGTACTGGAGGATGACTCCTGAGGTACTTTTTAACCAGAAAACCCTTTTCTAATCATATAATTAAACACACACACACACACACAAAAAAAAATCGAATTGTGACAAGCCATTTTCGAATATATTTTCATGCAAGCTTAGGATGGAAGGAAATATAATATGTTTCAACCTTGCAGTGAATACTTGGACCTTCGGATTTATGATTCTCAAACAGAAATTTCAACATATCCTTGGGACTGATTTCATTGGGAACAGTGCCTTATTTTTACAATGCAAGTGTTTTCTTGCAAAGCTATTCATATTCAATTCTAAGAAACCTTCTTTTCAGTTTGTTTTTATAAATGTTGTTATTGGCTATGAATATGCTTTTTGTTTTGTTGTTTGGCTATCCCAAAGAGTTGGATCTTCCAGAATTGCATGCTGAGAATTTATCCAATACTTGGCTAGATCTGTTCTTTTTTTCATATTTATTTCCTTTTTCAAAAATCAAAGCATATTACACAACATAATTACTCACATTACACATGTGTTTTGTGCTAGTAAACTGATTTTATGCTCATAGTTTACTAATATATACTTGTTACTTTAGAAGGAAAGAACAAGTTACACATATTCCTGTTATATAAAGTTTCATCCAAAATCACGTACAAATCCCCTCTCAAACGATGGTTAAAAATCACCGCCTCCCGCTCTCTTTTTAGTTATAACTTATGCATCTAAAAACATGTCATCTATCTCTTGTATGTCGTATTGTTGACTTCACTACGAGAAACAGCCCTTTAATGACACACATTGGTTTTATGACACGTAAGAGTTGGTGTCTTAAAAATAATGTCATCTCTCCTAAATTTTGAAGGGTTTAGGACACTCAATTTTGCGTGTCCTAAAATTGGTTGTCGTTTAATATTTTTTAGGTAACGCACGTCCTTTCTTCTTAGTAGCTAATAGGGAAAAAAATCACAAAAAATGAAAAAACCATGCATCCAACCTTCGTTTCCACAACCTTTCGACCCTCACATCCTCTTGTAACATCCAAAAATTTTAAGCCAAATTTAAACTTTTTCAACCATAAAACCACATAGTGTTTTACAAAAATGTTTTCAAAATATCATTCATCAGAGTGTCCCAATAACGAAATCATAAGGATGCAGAGCAGTACGGTCACGCCTTCTCCTTGCCATGATCTCCTGAAGTACCTGAAACAATAAACTGAAACTGTAAGCCCGAGAGCTTAGTGAGCTACCCCCAAAATACCAATACCACACCGATAACACCATATCAGTAACACATAATCAACAACATGCATACTGGGCCTTCGGCCTGACTGGACCACCCTGCAGGGCCTACAGTCTAAGTGAGTCTATCCCGAGCCTTCGGTATGACTGGACCGCCCTCCTCGGGTCTACAGTCTCTCCGGACCGCTCGTAGGGTATGTTGACCTTCAGCACAAAGCAGGACCGCCTCAACCCGACAGTCAAGCAAATAATCATGTGTGCATAACTAACATATACTGGCATACACAGGTATCAAACATATCTATCTCACTGATCATCAATACTAGCAATCTCTCATAA